TATATATGTATATAAAGTTATTGATGTTAATTTTCTAAAAATGGGCAAATTCAAAATTTAACACATTTGTGGTATGGATTATTCAAATAAATCTAAATTTTAAGGTAATTATTTTTGCATGTTAGGTAGCCATTTTAGAGATAGCAAAAAAATCCTGAAAAATATACAAATTTTATATGATAATAAAGGTTATTCTATTGTGTATATATATATATATACAATAATGTGGTCCCATTTAATTTATATATTATATATTGAATACGAATAATTTATACGTAGATATTTGTCTGTTTGTAATATAAAAAAAAATATATTTTAAAAAATTACATAAAAATAATTTTGATTTAAACAAAAAATGTTCTTTTTTTAAATAATGATAATCATATCTACTTATATAATTATAATTCTATAAGTAACAGTAATTATTTTTACTATTTTGTGTCAATATCTTTGTCACGGCAAATAAATTGTCATGCATCTATGCTACTGTTACAATTATACTACTTGTTACCGGAGAGCCTAATTATAGTTATATTGCCGCATTAATAATATTATTTTTCATAAAAATGTCACTTTAATAACTAAAATATTTCCTGATAACTATAGTCACCATATCAAAGAATACAATTGATGTTAAAAAAACAAGAATTCGTACAATCGCATGGTTGTGTTACATATATTTATGTAATAACTATTAATAAATAATAGTAATATGATCCATACCAAAAAATAACTAATTTTATCCATTATATTGCTTTAAGAAATATTAATTTTTAATAAAAATAATTATTAAATAAACAAATATACATGTGTGTGTTGATTTTAGTGTATCTTAGTTAACGCCAATTTACACGTCACCGAAAAGAAGGAGTAGGCATATTTAGGGGAAACAACATTGAATCAGATCCTACAAAAACACGGTGCACGTGCTCTCAATTATCTAAGCAACTGCAGTTCCATTCGCACGCGGAGGCCGGTCGGTTTATTGCGAATCAAACGCTGTACAAGTATCCGCAAGCGTGTCAATCGCCTTACGTTTTCGGCGTACTGAGGGTCAGTAGTCTACAGTCGCGTAGTGTCGTTACTTGTTGCCGTTAACATTTGATTAGATACGTTTAGTGCACCACTATCGCCTAGACTAATTGACAAAGTGTGTAAAAAAATACTATTTAGAATGAGTAAATAAATAGAATATCGATAGCCAATAAACAGACGTTTCACATCCGAACCTAACAAAACAACAGCATTTCCGTGTAAGTACTACTCATAGAGTAAGATTTTTAAGTAATCTTATTCTTAAACAATACATTTTATTTTTAGTATCAAACTCACTTTGTATATAAAAAATTCTACTTTAAATCAATTGGATTATTTGGTTTTTGCGTTGATAAACAAAAACGAAATCATTGTACAAAGCTCAACAGTGAGCATTTAATAAATAACATTAACTTGCTTTTTATTGAAAATTATTATTTTTAATCAAATATCGTAACAAATATAAGGTAACTTAATTGAAGTAATGTTGTTTATTAAAATACATAGCATACAAATAAAAATACAAAATGTAATTATCTATTGTGAATATAGAAAAAATTAAAAAAACACAAATTATTTTATTGGAATTATACATCAAACTTCAGTCCTATTACATGAAAATAAAACTCTAAATTTTCTGCAATATAAGTAAGAATTTCACTTTTCTTTCAAATTACATGTTATTGTTTTCTTATCTTTAAATATTAAGTTTATTCATTCACCTATTTTCGGTAACATTTACTTAGGTTAAAACGACTCCAATATTTGGTGTCGTGTTTCTATTATAATGTACGATTACATTTTTATAAAATTCTACTTGTATTTTATTGTTTTCTATAATTAAATGCTCACGTCAAAATGAAAATTGAATGTTTTTTCAATATTATTAAATAAAAAAAACAGAAAAGGGAATTTATACAAGTGTAACAATTGGGAGTTAAATTTTTAGAAGAGTTCAGGAAGCCTTAAAAACGTTTAAATAGTTTGGATGATTGATTTATTGATAGACTAATTAGCTATACAAACGTAAACAAGCAACAGAGATTGCTGAAATCGATCTTTGATTAAAAACAGTTTAATAAATGACAAAAATAGATTTTGAGATATTTTACTTATTTTATGTAGAGAAGGATTTCATCTGTCAAACGACAAAATATTACGATTCAATTTTATTGGAAAAGTTTATTTTTTCCATTTCAAAAGCATTGATTTCCATAAGACATTGAAATTTTAAATTTGTTTTTGATCTCGCAAAAAATTGCTAAAAGTGACATATCAGCTTTTGGAAATAACTTCAGATTTATTTTCTGTCTATTACAGACTAAGTTATGACAAAAAAACTAAAAAATTTCGATGAAAACACTTATGTAGAAAAACCGAATTAATATAATTCGGTAGAAAATGCGCACAATAGATCAAGTCTGAGTGTATAGGCAATTATTGCCCATCTCTTAAACAATTAAAACTAAACTATAAACTAAATGTATATTATCTAGTTCTATAATAAACAAAACTTATCGCTTTAAATATTCAAATAATATTCTAAAAAACTGAATAGAAAAATTATTCAAATAAAGATATTTAATAAAATTAATAAATGAGAATTTACTACAAAACATACTTAGAGTTATATTCAACTAAACATAAAGCATAGTTTGTTTTTAAACTTAGAGTAATAATATAAACTTAAACTTAACATACCTTTTTGGACAATTTCAAAACTTCTTCTTAAAAGTTGTAAATTTTCACTTTGTATACAAAAGTTGATAAATTAAAATAAAGGGGAAATTATTAAAAAGAAAAGTATGCTAAATGATAGGAAAATACCTAAAATACTGTCGATATTTTTTTCATGAGTTTCGAAAACATTTTTAAGTTTAAAAATTAAAAATAATTGCATCTAAATTTAGTATAAAACATTTCAAAAATTTCAATGCCGCTTATATAAGAATAAAAATGATTACACTGTAAAATGTACTCGTCTTTATTTTAATATCTGCGAATTTAAGTTCCTCGTTATAACTTACAATAATAGAAAACAACAATCATGATACATTTATATTTATCGCATGTTTAGTGAAAAACAAGATTTTTCGTTTTATTAATTGAAAAAAAAAATGTTATATGGTTTTAACATACAATTATACTATCAGGAAAAAAACACCCTTAGGATAACTCATATTTTTACGGTAGAATTGTTCTCTTTTAAACAACGAAAGTACAATATTTACACACCCTGGTACGTTTCTATAAATAATTCATAAAATGTACTGGATTTAAAGTACTTAATAACTCAAAATTCTATTTATGTTTGCTTACTAGTTTTCTTATTTGAAATAAACTCGCACAAGTTGAGTTAGTACAAAAAAAATTTTGTAATTTTAATCGGAAATGTCAACATAATAAATATATAAATTTATATTGATTAATATAATGTTTTATATAAATTTAAAACAAATAAACATGAGTTATTTATGACCAAATATAAGCAATCGAAGTAAAAGTGATTTTTTGTTAACAAATCGTCAAATTGTATGTTTAAAAAAGTTAAATTACATATCTAACAAATTTTGTCACAGCCATATGTTTATGTGTATGAATGTGTTGAATGATTACTTCTATACTTAAGTTGCAACTTTAAGAAATATACACAACTTTTGTTTAGGGTTAACTATTTTAAAGGGATCTACGAAAAATACGCTCAATTTAAATATTAGAAATAGGTAATTCATTTAAATAAAAAAAATATATTTTAAATGTTTTTATTAATGTTTTACCATCCTTTTACATTCTTTTAATCTATAAAACTGAAATATCATATACCCTATTTTTCCAAGCTATTTTTAAATTTCATTTATTTTTAAGAGACAATAAATATAGTAAAAAAATTTCTTCTGATATTTATCCTTTTAAAAAGGTGTTTCTTTCATTTTTCACTGGTATTGTAGCGGCAAATTCAAAACGCTGGACTTGTAGCAAAATATGGTGAAGATCCCAATTTTTCTATACAACAAAAATGTTAAATTTACTAGCATTTGTACCACTGGGTAACGTAATATAGAAGTTTGAAAAACTTTTAGACCCTACAACTATTTTAACACTATTGATAAATTATTTGAGAACACATGGATTGGTCGCAACCAAAAAATGGTGAATCCCAAATTTTTAATTTAAAAATGAAACTGCTTGATCTTGTTCAATACGATATGCTTAAAACTAACATTTATGTTAAATGATGAAACGATTTTTTTACCTTTTTAATTATTCTACAAAATATTGACTGTTTATGAAAACTGTAAATTTTGAGGAAATTTCTCTTTATTATCGAGACTGAGGGGTATTTTTAAAAATGATGTCGTTGATAACATCAACTAGATACATTTTACGTTTAAGACATATCGTTGAAAAAAATTTGGCCAGTAGGAGCAGGTGTAATATTATGCTGGATATAAAAAAAAACACAGTAAAGTAAAACCAATAACTTCTCAACAACACACCAAAGCTAAAAATAAACACATTAATGACCATTATAGTAATTTAAATATACAAATAAAGAAAAAACTGCATGATTAATAAAAAAATTTGAATACATACACTTGAAAAATAATTATACATTAATTTATGACAAAACGTTGTCCGAGTTATTAAGAGTACTTATGATATCTCTCTTATATTCGTTGTAGAGTTTATGATCGGAGCGACATTTACTGGTTCAAAGTTGGAGGTATACTGACGGTTTGACTTATTTTTTTATTGTTCCTATCATTTTCGTTGTTTTAGTTAAACTTATCATGTTTCTTTTTTTTTATATATAACTTTTAGCTTCGATGCGAAGCGGAGAAGGTATTAATTTTACTATGATGTGTTTTTTTTTTTTTTTATGTCTGTTGCCACTTTTTCTCAGCTCTCATAGGACCGATTTCTTTCAAAAATACGTCAAAAGATCACAAATCGTATCTAGTTGAAGACATTACCCTTAAAAATTGAAAAAAATTCCCTCGTTCCCCGCAAATGGGGGAAATATCCAAAAAAATTACAAATTTAAAAATCGCTAATTTTCGTAATTTTTTCACTTTTTTTTCTTAAAACTTCCATAACTTTTTGAAAAATCAACAAATCAACATAATTTTTTTTTATACTAAAACCTTAAATATTTACCTTTCATTTGATATCATTTTTTTGAAAATCTAACACTTAACCTGCTCATTGGGGGAGATTTAAAATAGCAACTTTTTTACAAAAACTAACTTTTTCAACTTAATTTTTGAAAATGTTCCGGAAATACTGCGTCCTTTAAACATATATCAAATTAAAGCTTATTTTATGTACTATAAAATGAAAAAAAAAAATTTGTCCCGACACTTTTTCTTCTACATTTAAACGGCTGCCGTAGTTAAAAAAACACTATTTTTGTGTTAAAATTTTCGATTTTCGATTTTAAATTTTCAACTTAAAAATGCTATAACTTTTTGAAAAATGTATATATCAGCACAAATTTTTTTTTTCTAAATACATTATAAGTACATCTTTCATTTGACATACTTTTTATTAAAATTGGACAATTTCCCCTTATATAGGGGGCGTTCAAAACTTAAAATATTGTAAAAAACATAGATCTTTTTCAACTGAACTTTTGAAAATGTTCCGGAAATACTGCGTCCTTTAAACATATATCAAATTAAAGCTTATTTTATGTACTATCAAATGAAAAAAAAAAATTTGTCCCGACATCTTATCTTCTATGTGCAAATGGCTGTCGAAAATTTAAAAAAAAATGTAATGTTTGCGATAAAAATGACCTTTTATCGGGATGTTTTTTGTACTTAAAACTGCCATAACTTTTTCAAAAATGAACAAATAAAAATAATATTTTTTTGTATTGAAACCTTAGATATTTCCCTTTCATTTGATATAATTTTTTTTGAAAATCTAACACTTATTCTGCTCACTGAGGGAATTTAAAATAGTAATTTTTTTACAAAAAATAACTTTTTCAACTTGATTTTTGATAATGTTCCGGAAATACTGCGTCCTTTAAACATATATAAAATTAAAGCTTATTTTATGTACTACAAAATGAAAAAAAAAAATTTGTCCCGACGACCTATCTTCTATACGCAAATGGCTACCATATTCAAAAATATGCTATTTTTGTATGAAAATTATGGGTTTTGTATTTTATTTTAATAGAAGTTGATGTTGCTTTTGCAATTATCCA